AGCAATATAATTTTATCCTGGTTTTGTCCTGACTACTGATGCAGATATGAATTTCGACTGTACCGTAATTCACCCTTCTACCACTCTTCAGTCTACTAATCACATATTAAATTATATTTGAATGTATTATTCACCAAAAGCCAGTGTGCAGTATTCTGTTTTCACAGTATTCAAACAAGATTAATACGCTCTTCTAATTCTGCAGCTAAGACCATCCTGCACTTGCTACTATAATGTTTTACCTCCTCTATATATGACACCATTATATGGTATTTTTAAACATGTCAGGAAATGTTATAATTAGGTCTCCTATGAGGGGCTGTAGCTTGGTAATAAAGCCCAGAATTCAACCCCTGGCATCTCCAGTTTAAAAGGCCAGGAAATAGGTGATATGATTATGAAAGACCTTGACTCAATACTCTGGCAAGCTGCTGCCAGCCAGAGAAGACAATATGGATGGTGACAGATGAATCGTCTTAATATAAGGCAGAGTTTCACGTGTTCAAAAGTGCACCTGGCAATCTGGACAACCTGTTGCGTCACAGGCTCTGCTCCTTTCTGAAGGATCTGCTGCAAGTGTGCATACACACACAGCAAGGGTGCCACATGTACTGCCTCACTGTGCACAAATGCCAAGAGGAACAGTAGGATGGCCAGCTGAGGTCACTCAGGTGTAGAAAGCATCCCTTTTTAGCACACGCAGGTTCAGGTTTCTGCCCTTCCTGCAACAGCTCTCTTTTGCTTTCTCTCTCTCTTCCCTGTGCTTTACCTGGCCTGTCCCAGCCAATTCCCACTAGCCCTAACCCTAATCTCTACCTAATGCCCCATACACATCCAAAATCTCTCTTTTCACAGCCCAGCTGAGTTATGCCCCCATTCCCTTGCCAGTAGGTGCCCTGTTGATCCATGTGTACTCGTAGCATGCAGTCATCTCCTCACTGGTACAGTAATAATTTTGGCCAGTCCTCTTTCCTGCCATGTAACTCTGATGTCATATGGCTTCCTGTCACATGATTGCAGCTTGGTGGTGTTATGTATTGAGCCTGAACTGTCCTTGCAAAAGGAGTGAGCTTGGGATGCATAACAATAGATGGCTAGGATCCTAGAATGGACCTGTAGGGAGACAGGGATCCTAGAGTAAACCAATTGGGAAACAATAGAGTGTAAATAGCCTGTCATTGGGAGTGGGGTGTTTTTGGGTGTAACCCTTTTCAGGCATAAATCCCTGGCTTTGGCCAGGGATTGCAGTCTTCTTTCTCTTGCTGAATCGCTAATAAACTATGAGCTGATCACTTCTACGCGTCTGAACCCAGTATATTTCAGGTGGGTTCCGTGCCTGCTCCTGGGAGTCAAAAGTGAGTTTTGGGTCTGGAAAAGCTAAAAACCAGTAGTCTACTGTAACCGAAATAACCAAGAGCCCTGTGGCTCAGTAAAGAGATAGTGGCCCCGGTGCACAGTGAGGCAGTACATTAGGCATGCTAGAGAGATGGAAGATAGGCAGATTTTCCGGGCGCGATCTCACCACCACATCTGGGAAGCGTACAGCTCCCATGGCTCACCTGAGGCTTCACTCTGAAGATGTGCAGTAAAAAACTAGTACCTCCAAGGTACTAGTTTCCGGAAACCGCGGGGCAAGGGCGGGCGTCAGATCACGTTTCCGGTGTTAGCTCATGGCATCCGGCGCCCGCCCATGTCCCGTCGCGAAAAGGGGTTTTTTTGTCAAGTCTCCACGGGTGCGCACAACGGCGCATGCGAACACTTGGGTAAAAAAAACCAACACAACCCCCGCGGCGCTGCTTCTTTGCCGCGCCGCAGGAGTGAGGTATGATCGGCACCTCCCCCCAACCACGGGACGTCGGCGGGATGTCGGGTGGGACGTTTGATCCGGCTGCTGCGCAGTAGTTCGCTCCGGGGTAAACAGCCACGCCTCCCCCCCGCGATATCCGGCCCGTGTGACCGGGGCCAGTAAATAGTAAATACATAGTATTTATGAGCAAGAATTCCTGTTGTACTCAAAAGAATTGACAAATATGTTGTGACTCGTGCTTCTGTAGACTAGGACCCATTTCTTTAAGTGCATTTCATCTGACAAAGCATTTCATCTCACAAAGTTTGTTCATGTCTAGAAAAGCTCATGCCAAAAAGTATTGGTTAGTGTTTAAAATACCATGGGATTTTTCATCATAAACATGTTTAGATGCTCACACAATAGCACTAACAGACAGATGTCGCTGTCTGATAATGTCATATATCTCTTGTATTCTCATATACAGAATACCAGTCTATAATCCATTCTGGTGCGACATCTTATTCATGAATTTTTCAGAGCAAGCTACAAGGAAACTATATGCCAAAAATCCAGAACCATAAGTGATTGACTCCAGCAGTTCCCCTATTATTTCTCTCTGTAGATCAGTTAAAGTTAAATAATTATGCATCACAGTCTCCTGCATGACTCTTCCAAGGAGTTTCATTCTAACATTTTTCTATACACAAACACATGAGGCTACCTTATACTGAGTCACACTATTGGTCTATCAAGGTCAGTGTAGTCTGATATGACTGGTAGCAGGTCTCCAAATTCTTAGAAAGAGCCACTTCACATTGCCTATTACCTGGTTCTTTCAACGGGAGATGGTGGGGACTGAAGCCAAGACATTCTGCATGCAAAAGAGATACTCTGTCACTGAGCCACAGCCAATATGTGAGCGTGTGTGTGTGTGTTATAATGTTGCAGATTGTGTGTTGATCACCCCTTTTATACCTTTTACAATGTTATACTATTGGCCTAAGGCTACCTACATTTCCCTCTTTTCTGTGTTTAACTGTCAAATGCTGACTATACCTGCATTTCAGCTATCAAATGCTATAAAAATTGACAGCATGTCAGCTAACTCTGTCATAAAGAATGCCACTGCTTTTTAATTGTTTGTGGAATATTCCATTCCGTACCATCATCTTAAAGTGTGCAAGGTATCCTAATTAATGTTTGACTGTAGATTTGAGCAAGCTATAACTGTGCTTGTAGCCTCAGGGCATGATCCATCCTCTTGTGTTCATATGTCAATGCCTAATAGAGCTCTTTAACTCTCCTCCACTAATCCTCAGCATATTGGCTAGAATTTGCCCTACAGTTTTATGTATATTTCCAATATAAAGGCAGTCACAGTATGTTTCTATCAATTCATCCTGACCATTATGTCCCACATTAAATTTAACTCTTAGAGCTATTTCTTTTAAATAATAATATACTACAAAAATTATTTAGCCTCTTGTATACTGCTGGTCAAAAGTGTTACAATTACAATAACAGGTTTTAAAGATGATTTATATTTTTGGCATATGTTTTGGTATGAATGTTTTACTTTGCATTTCCTGTGGTGCATCACCTGATATTGCTGTAGCTCGCTTATTTAATACACTGAATGGAACATTTCCCAGGCTTCTGCATTTCAAAAACATGTTTTTGCTACATGTTAGTTGTCTATTAGTAGGGAATGAGTTTAATGATAAAGTACATGCTTTGCATGAAGAAGGTCCCAAGTTCAGTCCCTGGCATCTCCACTTAAAGAATCTATGGTAGCAGCTGCTGGGAAACGCTGTTCTCTTCCTGAGACTCTGGAAAGCTGCTGCCAGTTAGAGTAAACAAAAGAACTAAGCTAGACTGAATGAATTTGTGTAAGATACTTCGTATAGTCATATGCTAAACATGACAGTGGTCAGATGTCATAATATACTGTGCTACCTGCATGCTACCTAACGCCAGCAATCAAAATTAAAATACAAAATATTGAAAATCAAGAATCAATGGATGTCATACTTGTAGTGGTTAGGGTGCCATAGTGGGACTACAAGGGAATCCATCTTCAGGTCCTCACTGGTCCATAATGAAACTTCCTGGATGACTGTGGTCCAGCAGTTCTATCTTGCAGCTTAAATGATGTTGCTTCTGCATTGGGATGATTCCCCGTTCTGCTTTCATTGCTGCTGTGAATGTAAAGGTACTTGGAATAGCAACAGAGAATCCACAAGCCATCCCCATCACCACCACTGGTGGGCTTTGGGATTTTAATTTATTTTATTTTATTTTGTAAGTAGGTTGCTTGTATCACTATAGGTTTAGGACATTATTGTGCTGTATTTACTATAACTAAATGAAAAAATAGATGGCAAGAAGTCCACCAGAGGTAGTGGGAGAAATGGCAGGTACAAGAGGAAACAGCACAGGAGGTTGCCGGGGAAGTATGCAGATCTACTCCTTTCTGTACTCACTTGCCCAAACCTGCTTTGGGTTCACTCTTTCAGGAAAGATTGCACCAAAGCAGGTTGGAAATCCTGCAGAGCAACCAGGGAAAACATGGAAGGGGGCAGCCTTTTTAGAGGGGCAGAGTATGGAGGAAAATCTTCATATGGAAGCAGCCCCTGGCTCACAGAAATGGGATTAGGGTGCCAGCCCCCAAGTGGAGCCTAGAGATTTCTCAGAATTACAATTGATTCCCAGACTACAGGGATCAGTTCCCCTGCAGAAAAGGCTGCTTTGAAGATTGGATTCTATGACATTATACCTCACTAAGGTTCCTCGCCTCCCGAAAGCCTGTTGTCCCCAGGCTCCATCCCCAAACCTCCAGAAATTTCCCAACCTGGAGTTGGCAACCCTACGAACTGGGAAGGTAAAATGGAGCCGGGGGAGAATAACATATGCCCATACTCTGAGCTCCATAGAAGGAAAGTGGGATATACATGTAACAAAAATAAATAAAATAAAACGTTTGTCAAATGGTGAATATTTGAGGCTAACTATTGTGGAAAATTTTGAGGACACTTTGGAGGATGGGCATTCGTTTCCGCTCAGCTGCTCTACGGAGACAAACCTCTAGAGGGAGCTAAATGGTCATAACTTTCTCCTGATTGGCATCTATGGTTTGCTGGCTGACTTCACCCGTTCCTTTCACATTCCAGCCTTGGCTTGCTCCCTCCGAGTTCAGAAGGAAGCAGAAAAAGAAGCAGGAAGAGAGAGAAGGAGACGCCGTGGAGGCAGCTCGGAAGGACAACGGAGTTCAATCGCGCCAATTCGTTTCTAACTGCAGCAGAAGGTTTGTCTGCTGGGAGGGACCCGACAAACAACCAGAAGCCGGGTGAGTACAGAAAACAGCGGCCTGTCCACACAAAGTGATGGATGTAGGATGGACGGAGGGGGACTCTCCAGTGGATTTACGGAACATCTTCTGGGAGCATGAGGCATTTTCCGGTCCCGATCCGCTCCAGCTTTTCACATAGAGGAGGGAAATTTGAACAATTAAAAATCCTTCTGAAAGAGAACTCTGATGCCTCACATCTGCAGGCTGCTCGATAGGGAGTGGCAAGAAAAGAACCGCAAGGCCAAGTAACTTTGGCCTGTCTGTATTGTGTTCGAATTTTGGGATGACCGGTAGAGATGATGGTCTGCAAACTTCCACGTGCAACATAGAACTAATTTGCAGTTGATTCTTGGTTCCCAGCACTTTATTCCTCACAGAGCTGTCTGAACAACCTGTGTAAGATACCGAACTTAACATACCCCAATAAAAATGTTGAGTAACCCCAGGTCATGCTTTACTGGGCGATCAATTAATGTGGCATGCTATTCTGAGGAACCGGGCATCTAATGTGCGTAATCAGCACTGCCTGGAGGAGCAACAGAAACTTGGCTGGATGGGTTTGTAATCAGGCTTGTTTGAACGTGCACTCTTAAGATCATGAAGAGCCTTCAAGATACACCTTAAAACCCATTCAGCACTCTGATTCAGGGAGAGCCAACCTGAAATTCAAGCGGGGATTTTCTCCCCAGTTTTTCATTAGCCCTTTGTGGGCAAAATGAGGGTTATCAACTTATCATTGGGAACTGCAGTGTGGAAGTTGTTATAAATTCATTGACTGATTGCCAGATGTGGTGTGGTGTAAGGTTGGAGAATCCACATTTACCCATCTTTGCTTAAAGAATGACCGTATAATCTATATATCTAATAGCCAAGTTGCCCCCTCCGTGCGGATACTTAAATCAGCACGGAGGGGGCAGCTGGGGGGCCGGGGGAGGTTTGTGCACACGTGGGCCAGTCCCCACGTGTGCACAAAAATACAAAAAGTTTAAAAAAATTTCGGGGGGATGTTTAAATCCCCCCGAAAGTGCAAGAGCGTCTCCTGCGCATGCGCAGGAGACGCTCTGCAACGCCGCCGCCTCGGACCAGCTGGCGGGCTGGCGGGCGACGGGGGGGAGGAAGCCGGGCCTCGCCGCCGCCGCTGCCTCCCCGGAGCCGGCTGGCCAGCCAGCCAGCCAGCCGGCCGGCCCCACA